TCTGAAAAATGTCATGAGCTATAAAATGAAAGAGGGGAAAAAGTAGCAGCTTGCTTGGCAACATCTTTGACCTAAATTGCTATGCTTTGACTTTTCTGTGGGCAGGCTAATGCACGCAAATCCCACACTGCAATTAATCAGATTGGCCACCCACCCCACCCTGACCCCAATCTCTGGAAATAGAGGATTTACAGAGAATGATTTGCCCATGATAGAAATTATTAATTGTGTCATTGTGTATTTTATCCTCTCGATTAAGTCATTGCTGGAGTCCTTGATGAAAACACATCTTTTTGAAATGAAGTAAACAGGTTTTTTTTACTCTTCTCTGTAACGTCTCTGTCTCTCTTAGATTGATCCTGTGCTTACAGCTGAGGTGGAGGCATTTGTTCAAAGGTAAGTTACCTTTCCTTTTTCAGTAAAAAATCTCTGAAATAAGGCTTGAGATCTGACAGTCTAATGGCAGACACTTTGCTTCTGTGAGAAACTTGAACACTGCTTTTTATCCCACGCAGCACAGAAAAGTATCTCAGTAAATACAGCTTACATTTATCTTGACATAATGTAAACAGAGTTAAAATCTTCAGGGAGCACCAAAATACTTTTTTCAAAACGACTCTCCCTACTCTAATATCGTGGTTGCTCTTTCAGTTCCCTCGCCAAAGGCGTCCACCACAACAAAGATGTTTGCGGCAGGAAGCTGCCCTCTCTGCTTAGGACTTTACCTGGTCTCACAGTGCATGTCACACATAGTGCAGCCGTGTTTCCTGCCCCAAGCTTGTCACTGCCCTTTAGCATCATTCACGCCTCTATGAGCCCAGAGTCACGCAGAACTCAACTCTGCCTGTACTTCTGCAGAACAGCAGGGGTCTTCTTGGCCCAGGAGAGAAGCCAGCAGGAGCTTCATGCTGCCATGAAAAGGTGCTCCGCCGTGGTCAACAGCTCCGTATCAGAGGGCATGTCAGCTGCCATCTTGGAGGTAATCATCTTCGGGGCTTGTGGGTAACAACAGCAAAATGCATCTTAATTTGACTCGTGTATCGTGCTGCAGAACAATATCTTGGTAATGAGAGTTGGTTTTATCCTAAGAAAAAAACTGAAACTGTGTGAATATTTACAGCAGTCCTTATCTTGTGAGTTCTCACTCAGCTACAATGTTATCTGACCACTTCAGGGACAATTACCCAAATTAATTGCTTGACTCCAATCTTCCTATTCCTGAGTGAGCAAAACCTGCAAATCCACTTAATCTCTCTTAAACTCAGTCGATTAAGACAATCCACAGTAGGCTTAAAGTCTGATTAGTCTGCTAGCATGTTTCACTCAACAACCTGCTGAAGGTATTAGCTGATAAAGATTAATTCTGTAAGTGAATCAAAGCAGTGATGAGCAGAATAGCATATCAGTATACATGCCAAGGTGTCTTTTTTTTTTTTATATATACAAGAGTGAGTAACTTTTGCCTGTGACATTGTAATTCTCAGCAACCTCTCAGTGCTTAATCTCTCTCTGCTCCGACAGGCCATGGATCTCGGGGTACCCGTGTTGGCCCGGGACATTCCAGGAAACGCAGCTGTAGTTCAACATGAGTTCACCGGCCTACTGTACTCATCACCTCAGGTAGATAGGGACAAACACGTACCAGGTCACAAAAGACGTTAAGCCCAGTTAAGCTTTAATACTGAAGATAGAGAGGATAAACTTCATTATCATCACTGCAGCCAAAAACTACTCCTTTAACCTCAAATAACCGAGAAAGCATTTAAGACATGTACGTCCACTTCTCAGGCATGGCTTTATCTTAAAAACAAACAACAATAAAAACAGTTTGAAGCAGAAAAAACAATGTTAATTTTCTAATCTTTCTACTAAAAAGTTCTCCTGACTACAGTCCGACGTATGGAAGTGTTATAAAACAGAATGAGCTGGGTTTTTTCTTAGGTGCTCGGATTAGAATCAAAAAGTGTAGCCTTCAGGGACAGAGTATAGATACAAAACGACCACATGGTGATGCAACACATGGCATCATGCAGGAAAGGGCAAAGCGGGGAGTTCCCATGAGAACTCTTCAGTCTGATGTATAATGAGGTTTGATCAGAGTTTTCTATAAACACTGTCTGCCTGCTGGAGAGGCCGTCATTAAAAACATTTCCAGCACACTTTTTCCTGTCATATTAAAAACACTTCTTCTTGGTTTCTATTAAAGTAACTTGTATTATTTAAGATGAAGATTTGCATTCAGTCATCAGAAAGTCTTGATCTCAAAGTTCATGTGAGGAACTTGAGGTTTGTGGACAAAGTGGTACCTTTTATCATTTGCTGATTTAGTCCTGGATGTGTATAAATGGTGCTTTTAAAAAAATTATACTAGATTATATTTGCAGTCAAATGTTTCCCTCATTAAGTGTTTTTTCCATGGGAAATGTAAATGAGACTGTTTCTGGCATCATTTCATCTGACACCTACTCTGGCATCTGTGGTTTCAGGCATTAGAAATTACTACATATAAATAATCCATCGTGTTGCCAACAGTCTTTCATCGTGTTTGCTCTTGTAGGTCATAAAAAGCATCTGTATAAATTAAAGTCTGTTTCATAACCAGCTAAAATCTCCTCAGGAGCTTTAAGTTATGAGAAAAACAGCTATGCTTATGTTGGCAGGTATCAGAGAAACAAGCTAGGCTAATGTTAGCAGGTATCAGAGAAACAAGCTAGGCTAACGTTAGCTGAAAAAGGACAATAGCAAAGGTTAAGGTCAGATCACAAAGGGCTTGACCGTGCTGCTGTCATGACAACCAGCATGCTCTACTCTAGCGTGATGTTGTTTTAACTGTTGAGATAAATCCTCCCTGGGGGAGGGGAGTGGGGGTCACGTGCGCTCAGCTGAGCTGCCAGGAAGAAGCTCACACAGATGGTTACAGCATCTTGGGCTGGATAAACCATGACCTCAGCCAGAACCGATGGGCAACAAGCACCAGTCTTTCAGCCAAAACTTCCCTTGCGGTGGATCACACTCAAGAGTTTGTTTTCATTTCTGCCCGCTTTAAAATCCTTCTTTTATCAACATCCTTGTTTTTGATTGACAGTATTTTTGGGTCTTTAAGCCTTAAGGGTAATTACACGAGGAGTATAGGTATCAAGAGAAGTGTCTAAAGAAACAAACACACAAGCACTTTAAGGCTTTAAAGAGAAAAATGGTAACTCTGTCTGGCTCTATAATTTGCACTAAAAGTGAAGTGATTATAAGCATGCCGCTCATAAGTTGAGCTTTAATCCTGTTGCAGAGGCTTTATAGCACTCATATGGCCATAGAGAAGAGCAGTTTAGCAGTTTGCTACCAAGAGCCTCTCCAGACATAATCACATCACTTGAGTGAAGTGAAGTAGAGTGAATTGGCCTTCTAACTGGCAGCAGCTGAAACTTTGTATGCCCACTGGCTCTCTGCTGCAGTAAATGTTGGCTGCCATGTTGCAGGATCCCTTTCAGGCACTTCACTTTGTTTTGTTGGAGGCTCGAGTCAGTCTGCAGGGCCAACAGATGAGCAACAAGGATTCCGGATGCTGTTTGGATACAGCATCTCTCAATCATTGTTTTTATCCTCATCTTCCCCTCCCGGTGACCCTGTGAGAGCTGCAGTTACATTGTTTCTCTGTATCTGTCACTTTTTCACCTTTCTTCAGAAGCGTGTGAGAGGTGGCAGCTATGAGGATAGACTTACAAGGTCTATTGGACAGCTGTTTGCAGATCTTTAGCCATCAATATCTCCATTTTTTGGCAATGTCTTTTCACTAATCAGTACACTAACTTTTATCTGAATTCTCTTCTTGTGCCTTGGAATATCTTTTAGATTTAAAAAGAAAAAAGCATACCTTCAGGCAACTTCAATAGAAAGCTTTAAGTGATATTTGGCAGTAAATAAGAACTTATTGTGTCCCTGTCCCTGCCAGGAATTCGTACATCAATCCCAGAGGCTCCTGTCAGATCCTGCGCTCAGAGAGAGAGTGGTGAGGAATGGGAAACTGTACGTGGAAGAGTGTCACGGGCTGAAGCAGGAGAGAGAAACCTACCAGCAGCTGGTGAACACTTTGCTCTGAGCATGTCTTACAATTCAACCTCTCTTTGTATACTTTCTCAGGAACCTTAGCATCAAAGAATGGGGCATTAAATTGTTGTTTTTACCTAGCAAATGTAATAATTATCAAAGTTGTCTTATCCATTAAAAAAAACAAAATAAAACAGGTTACAAGGTGCCTGTGTAAAATAGCGAGTTTTATCTGAAGTGCCTTATTGAACATATTCTGCAGAGCACTTTGAACTCAACAACCTGGGTAGAAATTGTTGTTGGATTTAATAAAAATTGGAATGTATTTGGAATGGATGACATACTGTTATTTATGGCTTTGTATAAATATAGAAAAACATTGGTTCTTTGTCTGTTCATTTGAGTTTGACAATGCAATGGTTATTGTTGACTCGATGGGGATTTCAATTGGTATGCTGGTTGTAAATTGTTGTTAAACCATTCCACAAACAAAGTACAGAATCAACTCATCTTCTCTTGGTAAATACGTTTCCAATATGTTTTTCCTCTCCTGTACTCTATACTACCGTATTCATTTTTAATAAGGTGCAACGGTTGGGTTGCACACCTTCAAAGGCCCGGCAAAAACTCAATTTGTTTAAAGGGCAGAGGGTCACTAAAGGTTCTAGTAATTTGCTGTTACAAAGGTTGGTTTTGCAACACAGTGGGAGCATGGGCTGGTTTGAAAAAAATGAATGCCTCTTAAGATTTTGCACTGTGAATCATTTGGGATGCAGCTGTTATATTAAGCATTACACAAAATGCAAACAAACATTAAATGACTTGCATAAAGATAGTAGAGATTATGTTCATCTTTAAAAAAAAAAAAAAAACAAGCTGAAAATACAGAAGTTAAACTGGAATGCAATACTTGAGATCAAAGTGTTTTAATGAAAAGAAATAGTGAAAATTTGTTCAACTTAAGTTTACAAAGAAACAGGTTTTGGGTATTGCATAATAGAAAACAACCATTTGACTTAGAATTATGTTTAATCAAAGCCACAGTTTTGGTGAAACTCATCTATGACGCAGAGTTCCTTCTGATAATGGGTAATCAATATATTTGTTCTTTGATACTTTATATTGTTTACACCAGGATGTGAGTGCAAAAATGTAGAGACATAAATATCCACATGCAGCAGTAACATTTGGTGGCTTAAAAAATGGTGTAAATAAGAGTCCATCTGGTCAGCCAGCTAAAACATTACCATACACATCCACACTCTGATATTCACAGTAATATACAGAACATGTACATGTAAAAGGCCTTGAAAGGTAATGAAATGTAGGGGACGGCAAGTCCAAAATCACTTATTCTAGACAGTTATTGGAGTCACAAAGGCATTGAGGTGATCAAAGCCACATCTACTGTACATGTGAGGTCTGATCAGGTCCGGTATTATAACTGGTCCCCAGGCTGTGCAATGGGTACTTGGGGTTCTTCCTCACAACTGTCCTCTTTCCCAACCCAGTGGATGCCGTGGCCGTTCTCCCTGGGCGAATGCTGGCGCTCCAACGTGGAGAAGGTGGTGAACTGGACTCTCTTTCTTTTGCTGGTGGGCGAGTGGATGGACTCGCTGTGCATAGGTTTGTTCCTGATGGAGCCCACGCAGCTGATTGGAGAGTCTGTCACAGAGGCCAGGCAACTGGGCCTTCTAGACAAAGAGGCAGTCTTGTCAGTCCCAATGTCTATGACAGTGGTTGTAGTGTGGGAGTCCTGCTGGACGGGACTGCCCGGCACGCTCATCACCAGCTCAGCGTCCGTGCCGAGCCACACCCAGTCATGCCTGTGCCCAGTGGGCTCCTGGCCATGAGAGGGAGGCTTCTTGTGCCTGAACTTTATAACATACGAAATACAATTAACCAGAAAAACAAGGATGGCCAGGCAAAAGACGCCCAACAGAGCGTACATGCCAATCTCCAAGTCTGTGAGCGGCCTGTTGGCCAGCAATTCTTCCCCACCAATTTCTACCTCTGTTGTCTTCTGCCCAGGCACTTCAACCTTTGGGGGGAAGTTGTAAGAGTTCACCAGGTTCCCAGGAGCCTTCACTGTGCTAGTAAAGCTTACACTGCTCATATCCTCGGCTATCATGTTGTCTGAACCGTATGTTTTGCTGCCGTCACTGGGGCTGCTCATCATGCTAGTATTTACAAGACTGGTGGGACTTCCAGCATTTCCTGTGTTGCTGATCTTACCCACCCCTCCAAGGCTGCCGCTGCTAATGAAGGTTCGTTCTGTTGATTTGATCGTGGTTGTGATCTTCTGCATGGCACCCTCCTCCCTTTCTGAGTTTGAGTTTCCTGCTGGAGGATCCTGGGACGGCTTCCTCTGCTTTCTTTCCCTGTCCACATCTCCGCCATCATTCCCATAGTCACTGCCGTTATCCTTGCTGCCAACAGTGCTGCTGTCCATGCTGGTGTTGCCTTCTGAACGCCTGCTGCTCACCCGAAACTTGACCTTGAGACTCCCACTTCCCATAGCTACAGTGCTTTTGCGTTTGGACTTCTGGCAGACCTCACAGATGGATATCTCTACTCTGACCAGGACTCCCTCTCCTTCGCCTACTGCCACCACAGTCGGAGGTGTCCCCTGCACCGATACCACCCCTTGATCTAGAGATGTCACTGTCATTCGGTAGAAAGCCGGATCATAAATGTCAAGAGGTGTCTGATTGCCATCGCTGAACTGCACCCAGGCACTGACCAAAGCTTCCTGAAAGAACAGTAAACAGGAGAAATTGTTAAGGGTGCTTTTAATCAGCATTTAGTGCCTATTGAAATGGATATAGACTGTTACCTGTTTTGGACTCCGTAAAACCTCCTGTGTGGTTGTTGTAGCCATGATGGCCCTGTTGCTTCCAGGACTAAGCTGTAAGGTCATGGAGAGACCTGATACCAGCTGGACCCCCAACTCTGTAATGGTCACTTTGTCATCCAAGACTTTGATAGTTTTCTTAGCCAAGATTGTGTCAGAGAGTGGAGAAAACACCTGTCACAGAACAATATCAGATTCAGTCAATTAAGTCAATTCTCCTTGCCATGGACAATTCAGTTAGAATGTTTGATTAAAACCTTTCCAAGTAAAACCTCCGATGTCTTGGGCGCAATAGCCAATTATTGGAGATTCAGATAAGCATTTAAGATATTTCTAGTCAAGGACTGCATTTTGAATAGTCATTGTTTGCAGGCTGACAAGCAACTAAGGGATCTGAGTTGAAGTGAACAGATGTTATCTATGACTGGACTATTAGCTGCTCTTTTATGAAGATTTCTGTTAATTGAAATCAGCTTAAGAGTTCCGTCACTTTTGCTTTCTACAAGGACTGTTTTCCTGCATACAACCAACGCCTGAAATAATGCTAATGGACAACAAAGACAATCAGGCCACAGAACAACAAGTGCAGTTGTTCACTTTATTACCTGGAGGCTGGTGGTCCCAGGATCTCGCCCGGACAGCACCCTTCCTGCCTGTATTCTTGCCACTCGAGTGTCCTCCACCTTCATGAAGTATCGAACCAGTCTTGTCACATCTACCTGCCAATCTGAGCCCAGGAAAAAGGCCTTTGGATCCCGAGGGTCTCCCTGCTCTGCTATGAAGTGTGTTAGCACCCGCACCAGGGCATGTTGAAACTGCAGCATGCAGCCCTTCCCCTTCCGATCGTCTTCTTCACTGTTCCAGCCAGCTCTTAGCAAAACAAAAAAAAAACACATGCAGGTCACACCTGTCACACGGTAAATGTTCTGACCTGCTATATTCCAATCACTCAACCCCATCTCTTTGCTTGATTGGATTCAGTGTTATATTACAGTACATTATGTAATGGAATCAAACCTAAAACCTTGGAGGGGTATTATTTGGTTTTATATGGGGTAAAGAACACATCTAGAAATCCATTTAGACACCAAATAAGAGCAGGTTTTATGAAAAACAAACAGTTGTTTTTGTGTCCCACCTTTTGGAGGTAAGTATCGGGACCCTCCAGCTTTTGATCTGGCTCAGCTCTGTGTCTGACACCTCAATCTGGAGGGGGAGTCGGGGCATCCAGACGTTCAGTTCAAGCTGAGCACTCAGGTAGCTGTAGGTAAAGTTCACCATCATCTTCACCTTGCCCTTGGTCTCTTTGCCGTTCACAAAGACATAGTCGCACCTGTCTGAAACCTGGGTAGGAAAATTAATAAAAAGTGAATAATCCATCACAGAATCAATATCTTTTTAATTCACTCGATAAAATCCAACAACTTTATCCAGGTACGCTTGCGTAAACAATCTATATCAAACTCAGTGAGACTGTCATCAGTGAGGGAGATGTTAGTCATCTAACCAATGACAAAAAATAATCAAACATCCTCGTAAAAGTCACTATATTAACAAATAGACCATTCTCACAACAACAAATGGCCTTGCGGCAGTTTTGCGCTGCATGTGTTACCATAGTAATGTCAACGTGCTGTAATAAACTACTGTGATGATCACCAGTCCAAAGCTTAAGGAACAGGCAGCATTGCAATTTTATGTAAATCAACATATCATGTGGTGCAGTGCTGAACATCAGTCCTTCACAGCGTAGTGCATTCATTACAGCGTAATCTTAAAGGTGACCTTGGTAAGTTTGGGCAACTGCTCAAAAAAATCTCATGGACGTTTTCAGACATGACTCAGGAGGTTTTCCTTGGTCCTCTCGACAGCCACCGCTTTAAACAAATTGGATAATTAACGCAGCATTGAAATTCAGTCACCAGCCCCTGAAGTGCGCGGGGGAGTGGAGGGGGAAAAAAACGTTGACTTTGACAGATAGCCTTAGGAGGAGTACGAATAGCAAATACAATCCTGCTCTCATTCGTGTGAACCAAGCAGTTAGCTAGAAGATGAGCTGTCACAGGGACGCTATTTTTGAGAGGATCTTGTGCCATCGTTGCATCCGAGCGTCAGTCAACCTGCACCCATGACTTGAGCTTAAACTTTAGAATGACCACATCATTATGTGTCACCCTCGCTGCTCACTGAGATGCCCTGACCTTATCTCAGCGAATAACCATATGCTTGATTTACCGTGGATCCAGATTTTCAATGTGTGTCACTAGAGCCATTAAACAGTTGTTATGGAAAAATCCTAATCCATGCATTGAACAATAGACTAGCACTTAATTATTTTTATTTTAAGTCTTCTAGAGTATTTCGTGTTCTCAGTTCAGTGTGAAGGCAGTCAGCCACTAATCTGTTATCCAAGACACTTCCAAGAAAACCGCTGAACTTCCATCAGCCATGTTTAAATAATATACTGAAGCCTCAGTTAAAAGGGAATGCCATTTTAATGTGTCATCGGCCCACTCTTCCTAGTCACAATCTCACGCTGTAGCCAAGAATATCCCTCTGTGTTTTTGGTGTCAAAACAGATAGGGGTTTAAAATGGGATTTGACTTTCATCACAGAGAAAAATAAATAAAAAATGCAAAAAAGCATGCTTCACTCACAAAATTCTGACTGTAGTTTCCTTCTGCAAATAATACAAGTTAAATAAGTTTTAATCAGTTTGCTGAATTAATCAATCTATTGCAAAGGGGCAAATATAGTTCAAGTGTTACTCTGAGTTCAGGCTTAATGTAAATCATTTAACTTTCTATTCAGAGCCACAAATTGAACTTATTAATCAACAAAGCCACATCAGTGAACAATATGGCCCTGCTTTAAATGTCCAATGTCAATCAGACCTGACGGAGAGAGAGCAAGTGCACAGTTTGTCTCTTCGTCATTGATTCACATTTGAAAAACCTTTTCATCACAGCAGATTACTTTTTGCTTTTGCTTTTGTTTTGTCACATGAGCTATCCATTCCAGATAAATCCTTCTTTCCACATATATCACTTGCAGATTTGATACTTTTCAGGCACACCAGAAGAGAAAAGATATCTGAGTCAAGCTGTCTGTTGGACTAAGAAGATTAAATGGAATATATGCGAGTGAAGCTGCTCTCCGGTCAGCAAATACACGGAGAGCTACAGTAAGCTCAGAACAACAGCAAAGACAGCTACATTACAAGGTTGAAAAGAATGATTTAGGCCGCATCAAGCCTCTTGATATCCTCGTGTAATCCTGCTTTTCTTACAACCAACACCCATCTGCATTTAATACATGTGCACTGCATACTTTCCTCCCTGGTGCATCGTTTTGAGCAGGAATCATATTCACTAATATTCTGAGATGTGTTGTTTTGTAAACCTGCTTTGGGACATATTTTACCAGCAAAAAATTAATATTGTAGGGCTGAAATCACAGAAATATCTTAATCCTTTGCTTACAGTTCCACTTTAACCTTGAGTAAATACATTCACAGCCTCTGACCTCAAAGGTTAGAGGGTTGACTAACAATTTCATTAGAAAACAAAGCCGGCTTTTAGCAGTCAGCCATGCTCAGGTTGGCAGGATAAAAAGGACAAGTCTTAGGATGGGAGCACAATGTCAGACTGTTAGGATGTTACTGCCGAGTGTTTATGCTCACTGGCCATTCACTGTTGATGTGGCTGTTTGGCGATGTTGTCTAATATATATATTTTTTTGATGACACAGAGAGGAGAGGTGACTTTACTTAATGGTCTATATTTGTCGAGATCATTACACATGAAACCACCTGCCGCTGTGGACAGTGTTGACGAGTGCTAATCTACACAATTACACAAAGAAGTTCAGTTGCTTGCAAGCAACAAGTGACACTACAAATGAAGATTTCTTTGTGACACAAATAGAACAGTTCCTGCAGCTTTTCCTTGTAATGATTCCAGAAGGGACTTTTTAGCCGATTTTTCAATAAAAAAACAAACAAACAAATTAAGACAATGACATCATGAACAAATCTATATAGGTGCATGTAAATATGTTATTCTTTCTGTTTGGGGTTTCTTAATGTTTTGAACCTGAAGTTTGAAATAAACTTGAGTGCGTTAGATTTAAATTTTTGCATAAAAATTACTTTTTTTGATTAGTTAACCTTTTTTTATCAACAAATAATCAAAGAAGTTGTTCTATGCTTTATGTTTGTGGCCAACTAATAATCCTACTTGTTAAAGGCACAGTATGAAGATTCATCCATACAATCACAAAAAATGACTTTGAGGCCGGTGGGGAATCATGGGAGTTCTCTCTGCTACTCCCGCCTCCCCAACCCGGATTAAAACGAACTCTTTGACCGCAGTAAAGACGAACGGGCAAAACACAAGAGTATATGTTTACAGACAAGCTAACGAAATCCAAGTATAATTTACATGATGTTTTTATCTCAGCAGCACATACAGCAACAGTACGGCAACTTTCAGTTGGAATTCCAGCTTCCTTATGTAGCGGTCTTTGACGTAACATCCGGTGTTTCCACGGTAAAGATAACATGTCATGTCTGTCATGGCAACTCTGTCATGGTGTCGACATGTCCCCTTACAACTATAAAATCTGGGGATTCTCTGGCTTTATAACTGTTGGAAATATCTGAGCTAATGTCAGAACTCAACAAAAATATAAATATAACAAGTTTAGCCCATTTTTAATTAATTGAGATATTTTAATGTAAACACTTTATTACAATTCTACATGTTGTACCTTTAAATGGATTCAATTCTTGTATTAGTTTTTTTGTTTTTGTTAATTTGTTTACCTTTCGAGGGAGGGACTCTTTGCAATTACCTAATTTATGTGTCATCATATTTTTTGCTTAAATCAAACAAAACCCCTCTGGTTGGTTTGCTGTAGTTGAACCCGCATATAATGTAAAATATCTTTTTGCATGCAACGCTTCATTTTCAAAGTAGCTTTCCAACGCTGGCTGTGGAGTTTTTTTTTAAAGCCATGCCAGAGTGCCACATACTAGTGTATACCACAGTGATACTGTGGACCATACAGTACTCAAACACAGACTGATTAAAGCAGGACTGTTCGATCACACAGTAAACTGGTTCACAAATTACCTCACAAGCAGAACTCAGTGTGTTCTAGCTCACTCACTCTAACAGAAGGTGTGCCTCAGGGGTCAGTCCTAGGGCCGCTGCTATTCATTCTTTATATAAATAACATTGATTCAAATGTTTTCAATGTTAATTTTCACTTTTACGCGGATGACACTGTGATGTACTGCTCAGCATCCACTCCAGACCAAGCTCTCTCACAGTTACAACTTGCTTTTAACACTGTTCAACAAAAAATGTATGATTTAAAACTTGTTTTAAACACAGACAAAACCAAAGTCATGATTTTCTCTAAGGCAAAAACGAAACCATCACACCTTCTTTCGATTTCCACCTCTCAAGGTACACAAATAGAGTCTGTTTCGAGCTACAGATATCTTGGCATCTTAATTGATGAGTCTCTTTCTTTTACTCCTCACATTCAGCAGCTGGTAAAAAGGTTAAAGCTGAAACTGGGATTCTACTTTAGAATCAAATCCTGCCTTTCTTTTAAGTCTAAGAAGAGGCTGGTTGCTGCCACTTTTATGTCTGTATTACTGGATTATGGTGATGTTTTATACATGCACGTCTAAAGCTAACATGCTCTGGACATTGTGTATCACTGATTTTAAATCCCTCACTCATCACTGTTTGTTGTATGAATGTGTTGGATGGACTTCTTTGACTCTACATAGACTATTACCTAGTCTATTTTAGGTCTGCTTCCTTCGTACCTTCTGTCTTTCATCAGTCAGAAGAGTACAGGGATTTATAATCTTTGATCTCAGGACTTTTTCTTGCTGTCTGCTCCAAAAGTAAGAACTGAACTGGGGAAAAACATTGGACAAACATTTGCTGTTTGGATTTGTTATTTGTGTCTTTTAACGTCTAACGTATTTTGTATTTGAAAGATTGGCTTCTCGTTGTCCATGTGAAACTCTGTTAATGTATTGCTGCCTGTCTTGGCCAGGACACTCTTGGAAAAAGAGATTTTTAATCTAAATGAATTTATTTCCTGGTTAAATAAAGGTTAAATAGAAATAAACATCATCCTGACACAACCAAAAACATCCAACATTCTTCAATTTATTGGTGCATAGCCAAATTTTGTTTTCTGCACACCACTAAATTGATCAAGGTTGAATGAAAGCGGAAATTAAATATTTGAAAATAAATCAGAGTACTTACACCTTTAAACTTTTCATTTTCCCTGTTATGAAAAGCTTAAAAGGTGAATGTTTAAAGGCAAGTCAGCGAGTTTGGAATGCATGAAACCAAATAAATGAAAACGGATGAATCAGAAGGTTGTTTCTTCCATCAACATTTTGTATATGTGTGTATAACAAGGAGCAGGGCTTACCTTGAGAACATCATCATCAGTCGAGCTACAGTCTGTGTAGTCAGACACATCGGTAACCAATCCATCTTCTTCCACAGCTACCGTCCTCACAGGCATCACCACCTTCTTCCCGGTCAGAACAGCTGTGTTCAGGATCTCTGTATCCTGTAGTAAAGTCAGAGGGAATCAGCCAGAGTCATTAGGGATTTGCCAACTTCCCCTGTATAAGAAAGTACATTGATACATAGAAATAGATATTTTCAAGTTGATGTTAATTTTCTTTATTGCTCAGGGTACTATTAAATAGAACAGCTATGGCAGATAGAGCAGATGAGTCATCTACCATCACAGGGGATTGTTGTTCAGTCTATGGGTCTGTGTGTCCCATGTCAAAGTGTTCTTGAGAGGGACACAGAGACCCAGTAGCTCCAGACAGTTAGGGCCTGAAACTTTCAAGCAGTTGGTTTCTATTAAAACATGATTGTCTGTTAGAACAGGGTTTTGCTACACAGTATATTCAATAAAAATGCAGGAAATATACCATTCACTATATTGTTTTTCTGGTTACAAGGCTAAATGTAAGGTTTTTGTTTTTTTAAACTCTGTGTGTGTTGTTTTTTTTTTTTTGCAGACATGCGTCCGTTTGCATGCATGGACAATCAAAGCATGAGCATGAAGCAGATGGATAAGTGTCTACACGCACTGATTCAAATGAACCTGAAGTAATCGAATACCGTGGGTCTGAATCAGTATGAGAACAGTGGAGTGCTGCACACTCAGGTTCTGTGCATGATCACTTGATTGAAATGTACAGTGACACTTGGCCACTCAAAGCACTAAAAAGAAGCAGATGGATAAGAGTCCCTCAACTCTGAAAAAGTGGTTTCAATGAACCCAAAATAACTCAATTGCACTTCTTCACTTATTTTAATTGTCATTACAGTAGAGTTAAAAATACAGATCTGCAGCCTGTGTCAGTGAGACGTCTGCAATTATACCGAAGTATTGAGCTACACCACTTGCAGGAGTTCATAGAGCAAGTCTGAGAGTGATCAGTCAGTGTTAATGTCCCCTCTAGCCAGCCATCAAATCTCCTCATGTTTGGCCCTTTGCCTGAGGTCGCCTTCTAATCCACAAGAGAGATGAACCATGTCAAAATCACAAATCAGAACACTGTGGCATATCCCCATAACTTCAAGCACTCTGGCACCATAATGATGGAAGTGCAGCCCTGTGAGAGCGTACTGTGGAATAAAATTAACCTTATGCCCAGAAGAACAACCTCAAGTCTAATACTTCTGAACTTTTAATTGTATAAATTACATGTTTGGTTCATTATAAGTTGTTACACAAATACTAGGAAGCAGACAAAATCAGTCCAGCTGGATCATGTAAGTGTTTGTCATTGTTACATGACTTTCCTGCAGACACTAAAACACTAAGAAGCCATTGACCCAGCGGTGACACATGCATCAGATTCAATATTGCAATTCAAAGTGTTATAAACTCTTGTGTAATGTTCCGTATTTAGTAGTGCAGATTATATCATGGATTAATTATAGAGGTAGCATGATAAGGAGGCCGGTAGCACCAAAATAGAAGCACATGAAGCAGCTGTTTGGAGGAATGGATGACCATATATTGCATGCCAGAACAGAGCAGAACAGCACAGAAGAGAGACATCAACTAGCTGACAGTCAACAACACAAGGTCACACTCTGCTCAAAATAGAACCTATTTAGCCTACTAAACAACCCCAAACATATCCAGTCTTCTGTGTACGCGAACCAGACAAGAATGGATCCGAGCAAAGTGCGTTTTATGATAAATTCATGCACCAACGCTCAAACGGATGCAGGCCGAGTGTTGCAATTATCGGAAACACTGCTGTCAGTAATGTCAATGCGGGTTTTTATAATGATTAGTTGTGACGACTAACTCACCATTACAAGAGGAGCCAGGCCGACGAAGTCTCTTTGAGTGGTGTAGATCCTCATGGCTCCTTCAGTCTTGGCCACGTTTTTGGAGTCAGATGGCAGTTCCAGCTTCCATATGATGAGTTGACTGTCGAGAGGGCTGCTCAGCTCCTCCACTTCAAAATCCATCTGAAGCACCTCCAACAGGCTGCTCTCAAGCCTAAATAGAACAGGACTGTTTAGAAAAATATGCGTACCATACATGCATACAAACCGATGTATAATTTCAAATCAGAAATGCTGGCTCTATCTGAAGGTTTTCTTGAGAATAACTGCAATATATTTATTTAAATGCAATTAGCAAAACTTTTCATTAATAAATCATGTTGTAAATATTGTGATTTGTGCAGGAAAATGATACAACTGTGAGGGATACCCTCTCTCCTTGTCTTTATAATGCAATTTTAGCACCTGGAACACAAAATCTTTCCATCACAGCCACTGACACTTAACATGATTATCTATCCACTGGGGTTTTGCCATACTCTCTCCACACATTCAATTCCTGTAGAGATAATCAGGTTTGAATAAAGGTGCAGTGATTATAGCACAGTGTATCCTGCACCTCAGCCTGTGGCTCATTGTTCTCTGTACAGGAGGACAAGTCAGAGTAGATCAGAATCTTTATCGGGTAGCTGAGCCCAAAGGAAAGTGCATTAAAAAGGCTTTTGTGTTCTTTGTGAGACACACTTTGGTTGATGATTAGGATGTTAGACATTGGATTAGATAAGAGTCTACAGCCATGCTAGCGGCTCTGTGAGGCTTTTCGTAGCATAGCAGTGCTTACATTTGAATGCTAATTCAACATGCTAAAACACCTTTAGCACGAAAACTTGTGTGATCCAGTGTTCTTTAGACCAGTGGTACTCAACTGGTCCAGCCTCAGGATCCATCAACAACTCCTTCATGAAAATATTGACCCTAATTTCTTTCTTTTTTTCAATGAATCAGATTTATAGAATGAAGAAAATAGTGCAGTTTGGACCTCAGATGGTACGAAACATGCGACGGAACAAAGAGAATGAACCAAACCAACATCTTTTAGGAGTGCTTCACAGACTGAAACATTTTTTTTTCCAGTCACATGTTCGCGACCCACTGAAAACAGCTCTGCAACCCACTTTTGGGTCCCGACCCACCAGTGAGAACCATTAAACAAAAGATTATAGAACTGACATATCTTCAAACAGACATTTAATCAGAGCCAAGAACTTCAGTGATGCTTGTGGTCACGTTTTTTTTTTTTTATGTCATGTAGATTACTTTCACCATTAGTCATATCAACACATGGAAATGTGCATGACTGCTGCTGGGACGAAAGGATAATATACATTGAATGATAATATATAAATATTTAGTGAACAGATGTTACTGTTAAAAGAAAAAGAAAAAAAGACCTGATGGAGATGGAGGAAACGGGATTTGGGGATTTCCATGTTAAAAATTAGCGGTAAGATGTTTAGAATTTGGTTGCATGGGAAGAAAGTGAAGATATATGAACAAAAAGGATGTCTTCCCAGTTGCAACACAACCCAATCCCCTTTTTCCAACTTGCAGAGGGTTCTGTATCTCCCGGCATTCTCACAAACTAAAACAAAGAAAGGATAAAGCTGAACTTCTCCACGATGGCCTTCCTCCTGAGTTGTGGGTACTTTTGTACTTGGTAAATGTGTACTGAATAAAAAAGGTGGTCCAAGGACAGCATCCTGCTGCATACACAACACAGCATAAGCCTTTGTAACTTATAATGGCCTCTCACTGATGCCAGCTAGAACAGAGTGTCCTAGTCATGGATGCAATTCTCTCCCATGGCCCAAGTTAGCATCCTTTCTTGGCACTGTATTGAACCATAGAAAAGATATATTGATGGAGAAAAAATGCAATAAGCATGCACGTACCTCCATGGGCATTATCAGAGCTTGTGCATCTGTGTGTGCATGTTATAAATATCTGTGTCAGAGCTGAGAAGATGAACAATAAGTCCTGTTTGCTGCATAAAAGTGACCTCAACAGGCTCGCACACCAGCCGCTTTGCTGCATTAAAGCAACGACAATTGGAGAAACTGCAAATCATATTTTGTTAATCCTCCACTAAGTTCCAAACTCAACAACAAAGCACCCTAAAGTCCTCTTTCTGTATCCCCTTCTCACTCAGTGTTGCATTATATCTCCCCTTATTTGGGACAAGACAGAGATTTAATGTAATTGAATAATCTTAGCATATTGCTCAGAGACCTGAGATTAAAAGATAATAATAATATTCTGGTCGAGTATCAAAACAAGATATGCTGCACTCACGTAAGGGTGCTTATATCCCCTTAAGCATGCATTAACACAGAAAAGCATAAGAAAGAGGATATTCCTGTGTTATTTACGGCATCAGTCATTGTTATGTAGGGAAATGATGCTTAAACAACTTGTTTACAGCTGGCAGTATGTCTGTGAGTAGCAGTGCTTTATATTAAACGATCCCAAACACACTGCTACAACAGAGGATAATAAGGGCTTTAATGTACAGACACAGCAAACGCTTTTAGTGTTCACTAAAGCCGGTAAGACAAAAAGTCAGAGAAATCCCCACCGTGGTGTGACAGTAGTCGCTCTCTGCAGGGGTGCTGTTGGTTTCATGACATTTTAGAGAGGATTAGCAGAAATGACTGAGTGGAAGAATATGTTTTCATATAGTACAAGTTGTGATAAACAATGTCATAATCCATATCAAATGGGGAAAACAACTTAATGAGGTCAAACCAATAATAACAAGCATATATAAGGTCAGTGTTCTGGCTCTGTTTTAAAGCAAGCTGTGCCTTTTATTGCATAAAGAGTCAGTGTGTCACACAAACCCACATGTTTATTTTCCACATGGTATAATGTATCCCTGTAATGTATCACTGGATTAAGTTGATCTGCTCTTGTACTTTTAAAAAAAAACCAAAGTTTGCTGAGAGTATTTATCCTATAACTGCTTGTATTAGTTTATTCTCTTCTTATCCTGGAGAAAGTTGGCTGCATGCACTTGCTCTTTTCCAGCTAGGCCATCCATTCACTCAGAGATTACAGCTTAAATTTTACAAGCGTTCCTTTTAGCTGCTCCAGAGGCATAAATTAACATAGCCTACTGTTTAAGTTTTATCTCAATGGTTTGAGAAGCCATGGTTGGTTTGATAGGCGAAAAAGAAATGAAGTGCATAAATGACAACATAAATGAATCACCAGTATGGACATTAAAGCCCTGTGTCCAACAAGCGGTCTGGTTCAGTTCAGTTCGGTAAGGTACACATTTATTTGCGTTTCCATTGTCAAAAGTTTAGATTGGTACGAAAAAAAACTGACCTGTACCATCCTACTTTTTTGGTATCCTTCTGTTGGGGTGCTAAGCGTACAGTTTCAGCCCTAAAGGTTGGAGCTAGACACACTGCAGTCCGTTGATTGGTTGAAAGAATCTTCACTTCATATGCGACAGTGGTAATAAATGACAATCAAAAGGCAGCATGTTTAAAAATCCTGTGTGTTTGGAGAGAGTCATTTCAAGGCTGATGACTAAAGTCAGCGCGTAGCTCCGCCCCCATGGACAACCTCTGAGATGCAGACCTTCCTAGGAATCATTGGTCTCTGTTTAGTGTCAAGTTCTTCTTCTTTGTTGAATGTCTTGGCTGTCTACACTATGTTGTGCCGCAGTGATTTAGTGATGTGTAAGGGTATGTTTGGTGTGGAAATGCAAGCAAGATCAGGGTTTACCATACCTTACCGTACCAAACTGTACTGAACCAAACCGGACCGCTTGGTGGAAACAGGGCTTAACATTCAACTCAGTTGGACAGTGAGTTGAAAAATTACCTCCAAAAGGCATTTTTGACTGTTACTCATGACCTTAAAGTTTGCCATCAGTGTTTACATAGAAAATGTTTCATCCAGGAGTACAGGAGGGTTCATGTAAAATCTATGTTGACTTACTGTTTTTAGGAAAATATTGATCTTACCTTACCTGAGAAATCTTTTTGCTCAAATCTAACCAAACTTTGTTAGTTTAAAGTGTATAAACTCATCTATAAAAGCTTCATTGTTAGGTTTGAAAACAATTATTGTAAAGGTTAATAAAAATACATCAACCTAAACTGCTTATTTACATAGGACACAAAGATCTACAGTATTTCTTAGTGAAATCTGGTCAATCTAATGAAATGCAAAGTGTTGGAGTGGAGGCGGCCTTAAGCCACTTGGCAAATAGCTACAACCCTTCTGTGCCTTCATCAGCCTGCAAACCCACAAACTAAAATACTGTACAATTACCATAATGCCTAACTATTACCTCAGCTGCTAGCTCAGTTATTAGCAAGATACTTACTAGCAGCACTGTTAATTATTTTTAATGTACAGCTCCATGTACTTCAAAAGGACTGAAAGAGAGGTTTAACTTCAGGTGAGAGAGGATTGTCAGTCCTTTCCCTTTTTTTAAGCAAGGTGTCTTTAATCTTCGGAGGTGAATGCCACACTTGTGTGACTGAACTCCATTCACCTGAGTTTAGTGACAGAAAGCCGCACTCAGATGAACTTAAAATCACATCTGAGATAAGCTACTTGTTAGGGAAAGGGTGTTGCCCCTTTTAATGGGGTTATCAGGCAAGTTAAGGACTTCTCAGGCACCCAAAGAGCTGAGTTTGATCAGAAAGAGCTGCAGGTGTCTTGTAATTCACTTTAGTGTTCTTCTCCTAAATGGCTCACAGCAGTTTTGTTATAACAACATTCCCTGCTTGCCCGTTTGAAGTCAAAGGCTTAAACATATTGCATGCCAGGGATGCATGCATGTACTCGGCTTGTAAACGAATAGAAATGATTTAAGCAGACGTGAAGTGGGCTGTAAAGGGGAAAAAGCAAAAGCTTTACAGAAACACGTACAGCCGTGTGCTTGGAAAGTTTTAGAGATGTCCTCGCAGGACACAACACTTCTGCGGTAAGCCGTGTTCCGTCTTGTACAGATGGTGTGACTTTAACTCCACAGGCACAAAGACAAATGCTGATTCGCTTTGCAGGACACACTTTAGGGTGTTATTTGTCTACAGCAATTTAGGCTCATAAATATGTGATCTCTATTTCCCAGTGGCAACACCATAGACACACACGGATAAGTAGCATTCACTGGCATGTAAATGAATGTGAAGAGAACCGACTTGCCTTTTCCCAGGTATGGGGGCCTTTCTCTGACAAATCACAGCGATGGCTCCATCTGCACCCATATCCAGAGTGATGTCCCACAGTAAAGAGTTACTGGGCGTCGCTGTTCGAAAGGTCACACCTTTCTTTACTGTCGCTCTGTGAAAAGTCAGAAACAAAAAGGTCAAGAATGTTCTAAAGGGGGAAATGTCTAATGTTAACTAGTAGAGAAGTTCAGACAATGAATTGTTGTTTTTTCCAAAAGTTGAAGTAGTCGATTATTTAAAGAATAAAGCAAACATACAGTATCTACACAATTCTCCTGTTCTTAGTTTAGAAACAAATGTGCTTAGGACAAATTATTTTATAGATTTCTGTCTTTTATGGTAGATTTTAACTTCCACAAAAAAAACATGTTTCTCATATAAAATACATTTTCCAAACTTCCTCTTCAGGTGATCACAACAAATACAGGTTTTTATTTATATGTTCAACATAGAACAGTAATGATACTGAATATTTATTACATTTAGAGGAGCAATCAATAACTATAAAAACAGGACAGGAAAGATGTCAGAAATCAATGATTTAGTACCACCCATACTCCACCCTCTTAATTACCCTCATTCACATGTGCATATGCAACAGCAGAGAAACATTGTTCTTCCTTTGTATCCTCACGCACACTTATTATTTCAACAGAGCGAATGGATCATTAGTTTCCTTGGCCTCTAATTTGCAAACAGAAAGCATTATGCAGCAGAACATGTCCACCATCCTGGTGGGTTTCCTCAGCAGACGCAGCCTGCTGTGGGTCAAATGTTAACCAGATATTGTTTTGTAAATGTTGTGAAGGCCAGAGGAAGCACACGTAAAAAGCTCCTCAATGCTAATTGATACAGCAGTTGGACTATTCTCACTAAGTATCATTTCTGATGAGCCTCGCTGGATATTCAGTAAAGACAACATCCTTGTGTATTGTTGCTCTTCATCTGCTTGTCAAGCTGTTTGATTACTCACTGAATCTTTGAGATAAACTGTTGTTGAGTGCATTATGAGTCTCGGAGGTGTAATCTATGAGCAACAGCAATCTGAGCACTTCTCTTGATTTGGGCTGGGGGAGAGTTTATTTACAGAAGTAAACTAAAGAGGAGGAGACATCGCTCCCAGTTCAGCAAAAGGAAACAAAACTATCAAACATATATTGTGTCCTAATTGAAATATGAAACAGGACCACTTAATGGATTTGTGGGGAGTTCTGTCAGTGGCATTTTGCATATTTGAGTGAGCGTGCATAAGTAAGCCAGTGTTTTCACAAACATCTGCACATCCAAGATTAAATCTGCAGGACAGGTCTCAAGTGGCCTCTCTTTGCATTGAAGTTTCTGCTATAGACAACGAAGAATTGCTTTTAAATTAAAAAAAGGGATGATCATGTTGAGTCTTTTTTCGTTATTCTTCTCTCATCATGAGAGAGGTTTTCGATTTCAATCAGCTGGGCTCAACAGAAGCGGATACTGTATATCTGATCTACACAGGTTCAACCCGGGAGCAGAGGGCTAAAAGGTGAAATCTCCTGCTGCTGTGACAGTCCCAAAAACCAAACCTGCAGCTCCTCTGACCTATTTTTTCTTGGCTGCACACAGCTGAATGCAACATTTTGAGTAAGAGTCAGTGGATGCTTAATGGCCATATTCACTAAAGGCTGTTGCTTTTCACACTTTTACCCCAGAGGTCACAGCAGCAGACGTAAAACACTCGGACCTGACAAAGCCAGAAAGTAACAATTGTGCTCTGAGCATATAAAGAGCAAAGAGGAGCTGTAGGTGTCGTATGTTCTTGATGTTAGGATAGAAAATAAATCCCCTCTGTGTGCTGAGCATCAGATTGCATGAACAGAGGAGGGTAACCAGTCTGTTGTTATCAGCCAGACGGTTCCCAGGAGGCAGCAGAGCCACAGCAGCTAAACACGCAGTGGGTTAAATGAGAAATACATGTGGGTAAGCCTGTGATGGTGACTTACAGATTCCAACATGCAAGCAGGTGCAGTTTTTTAATGCAAAGTGAAGGAACTTAGGTGCCTTTTGCAGGTATCCAGCAGCCAGCAGGTGCTGTGAGAAAACATGTTTTATTTGATCTCAACCCAACTAAAAAAAAGTCAAAGACTCTCCATTTATTCACTTTCCATGTTTCTCCAAACCTTATGCAGAATAAGAGAGACAAACGTTTTTCAGATGTTGTTTTTTTTATTCTCAGCATTGTTGAAGAAACTATCAGGTCTGACTGACATTAGAGAACAGTGAATAAACCTAGTGACATCTGTACATTATAATCTAAATAACTACAGAAATTCCATCACAAGCATCACCTCAGAAGAGATGTGTAGTCACTGGAACCCAAACAAGCACACTCCCATTATAACGTTCATTTGGAAGGGGGCAGCCTACACTGAACATGCATACTGTAAGTATTAGGGATGAGACAAAGTAACCCTACAGCATCCAATTGTTGCCCTGACTTGTGTGATACAGTCATCGAATTGTTTGGACCAAATATCGATTTGCTGCTCTAAACAGATTTCCCTGGCAATATGACTCACTACCTCACTACTTCACGAGTCTTCACAATGACATTAATGAGGGTAACTTGGTCGGACGTTATTTGACCAAAGAAGTTGACAAGCGGGATACAGCCGGTAAGCACATCGCTCAATCGCTGAATCGTGATACTAGCATTGTCCTGCATGACCACGATTTCCATGCTGCAGCACAACGTATTGTATTGCAATTCCCAACCCTAGTATGTATGCTTATCAGTTTTTACAATTTAGGGTTGTTATAGATTATCATATTAATGTCTCATTTCAGTGCCTCAGAATCAAAGCCAAATGATGCTTTACAGATGTAATGACAAATATTTTGCTTTGAAATGAATAACTTTCTTCAAAAGCGTTCATTCCCTTATCTTGTTTTCATGTTTACGAGGGATGCAACAGCCAATTCACACAATATATGACACTGGGAGTGCAAACCACCACAGGGAATATGTTTAAGACAATGATGGATGTGTGCATTTCAACAAAAGGCAAAACCTATCCATTGAGCAGTTAGCCAAGAAGCGTTTGGTCTTATTTCACTTTGGGTGCTGCTTGGATTCAGACATCTCAGATGTGTGTTATGTTGAGTGGTTGAGTTGTGTTAGCATTTTTTCTAGCTCTGTTTACCGTGTCGAATCTTTCATTGAATTGCTGTGACTGAAGCTTAAAGAATTGTCATTGCCATGCTATGCATTTCAAACTACACACTTGCAACATCTATCAAAAGAAGCAGTTTCTTTTCAACATAGAGCTATCTGCCCCCACTTGTTCATCAGTATATAATTACAGCACTCGTTCTGACTGTAGAGAATTGTGAGTGCAATGTGTTTACTTGCTTTAAATGGAGAGAAAAAAACTTTTAATCCGGCATAATCAATGAGGTAAGTGGAATTGCTGGCAGTGTGTATTAATGAGACGGACCAGGAGGACCGTTAATCTAGTAATGACTTCTACATAACATGCCCCGCTGTGATAAAACACCTCTGTGTATTGAGCAAAGTGGAGCAGAGTTTAACTAATACAAAGTGACAGTAACAAGAAGACTTATCTGAAGCACTTTTTTTTTTCTCTCTCAGCCTCTCTGGTGTAAAAGAAATAAAACAAATCCCCCTGTGACTGGAAGAGGCGGTTTTTCTTCTTAGAGCGCTGGCAGTAGTAACCAGTGTCCATGGCTGTGGTTAGCGGGCCTGGAGGAGGCGGGCAGGCAGGGGGAGGCACAGGGCCAGAGAAGATGGATGGTTGTGGAGACTGAAGCTGACAGTGTGTGAGAAAAGCAGCTCTCAGGTGCTGCACCTGCCATCCATCTCACTTCTGACCAGGCAAGGCATGAGTGACACTGTTGTTTCACCTTTTGCATACTGTTCATTCACGCACATACACACACGCTTTCACGTAAAAATGATACCACACACACTGAATTGTTACACAAATGGGTACACACACTTTGGAATACACTCTAAGCGGAGCGTGTTGGCCCTCGAACTTCATCAGTCAGCTCCCTTCCCTTATGTACTTAGTGAATGCTGTTTTCTTTCAACCAATTTGAAAGATCAAAGAGGCAGGGCCAACAAAGTAAAGGAAAACAATGAGACAATTCAATAAAGTGAATATATAATCTAACAAAAGACAGAGTGTGTTTTATCAAAGACCTACATGATAGATTGTAACCTCTGGGTGAGCTTCACAGGCAGCCCAGAAACATTTCATCACCACGGCTGCTATATAAGATGCAACACAGAGTTTGTAATCACGTTCCTCAGATCATTTTATATTCCTATTTTTGTCTTTGTGAACGCATCACTGCAAGACAACACTGGCGAACCCAGGTGCAATAAGAAACAGATGCAATCATTAATTATGCAGGCAAATGTCCACCGTTTAGCCAGTCTGATGGCCGGCCATAGGCAACATGCTCATCGTACTTATGGAGCGGTTCAGGGAGTCGGGGACACGTTCATGCCAATGCTGCTGCCAGATGGCAGGCACCATGGCACTAAAAATGGACATAAAAGTCCTATTTGTCACACAGATGAATGATTAGGCTCCCTGGGTGAAAAGCTCGCTGACACAGTGTCCTGTAGATACAGAAGCTCAGGTTTATTTATGGCCACATCGCTGCTTTTGATTAAGACTCCTGGAACAAGACAAAATATTGTTCCCCACTTTGGTAATGGCTGTTTAGAGGAAAACAAAACTTGTAAGGATTTGTAAGTCATACAAGTACATTACAGGAGTTATCTTATTAGCCTTAATGTGAATGTACATAACTTTATCTATGACCTTCATCAAACTCTCACTCAGGCTGACAGCCTCATTTTGCCAGAGCCGACAGGTGTGGCTTGTCTTTCCGCAATCAACCTCAAATTTGTCTGTCCCATGACTGCAGCTACAGACATCAATAACAGGTTTATCATGTTGATGAGAGAGTATTAACTAAAGCTTAATGGGACATTCAGACAGTGATAAAGAGCACAGACAGCTGTTGATGAGCGGCTGCACACGGCTTGTTAATGTGCTGATAAGCCGGGAGAGGGTCAGGGTTATGTGAGTTTGGAGAACAGTGAGTGTTTGATCACATGTTTATGGAGAGCAAAAAAAATGAATTTTAGGGTTTAGTTACCAATTAGAGTAATGTGTATACAACTACCAAAAGGTTAAATTACTACAAGTGAGGAGGAGAGAGAGGAGAAGGGAAAAGAAGAGAAAGAAGAAAGAAATTAGAGGAGTTTAAAAGAAAGGAAGGGCGAAGAAGGAGGAGGTAAGACGGCGAGAGATAAGAAAAATTGAAAGCACAGGAAATTAATGAAAGGACAGAACAAACACTGGAAAAGGGAAGAGGAGTTGAATGCCTAAAACAAAGGAGAGGAGAGGAGAGGAGAGGAATAAATATAGTAAAGCAAAGTCAAAGAAGGAGAAGAAGAGAGGCCTCCTTAAAGCTTCCTGTGTTTTTTCTGCTAAATGTTTGCTCTCTGTTTTCTTTTGCTCTGAAAAGTGTGACTGTTTAAACGAATTAGGGCAGCAATGATTACAAGTGACAGCAAACAGTGAGGGATCATCTTCAGTGCTTCCAAAAACATCAGAGGCAGAAGGAAATGGAGAGCAGTTAATTTAATCAAACACATTCTCTAACCCTTAAAAACACATGGATTCTCAGGTCTGAAATTCAATTAAACAATGTAAAGATGCTCTTAGAAACCCAGACAACCCATGAAATTCAGGATGAAACACATTCAGCATCATGTTTCTTTTGCTCTCTTTTTGGTTCCACAAAAAGACCCAAACAACCGTGATGAGTGCAGACTCAACTCTTATACCTGAAGAAGAGGAGTGCATCCGCGTAGCTGTCCGCTCAATCAATATTTATCTTTTCCAGCATTCACCATTGATCTCAGTAAGTGACTGTCTGAGTGAAGGAGGCAGGTGCAGGACCAAGTGAAAAAGTCATTTATAATCCATGACTGTCTCCTCACCTGCTCAGCTCCACTGAAGCATGTGTGGACGAATCAAGGCGGAAGTAACTCAGAAATTATTTATCGCTCAGGAAGTATTGATTGTGCAGCGTTATGAGTTTCAATCCACAAGGACAGAATGGAACTTTAACCCAGTTTTGGACGCGGTGCCTTCAAGGACTTCCTGCCAAAGCTAGTACTAAATTCAGGACACCTCGGAACTATCATAACAAAGACATGATAACCATTTTTTTGAATGAAACCAGCAACATATAAAGGAAAGATTTATGACATACATTACTCATGACCAAAATGTTCACGCAAACCACACGAGTTACCGAGACATGTCAAGGAAGAGCATCAAAAGCTTCCTGACAGTCCATTATTCACCGGCTCAGAGTGAAGCAGATAGCGCCAAGAATAATAATAAAAAATCAGCCTCTTATCAAGTTAGCGTAAATCTCTACTCAACCCCTCTGACAGCTAACCTCGCGAAAAACAGCCACGCTGCAACTCTGTCTTGTCTTTGATCTCAGTCGGGATGATGATAATAAAAAAAGGTATCACGCTGCGGATGACCATGGAAACTATCAAGGAAACGGTTAGAGCAATAAGGAGGCATTTAATCCACTTCTTGAGGTGCCTATTTCCCATGTTGCATCATTCCACCTTGAAGTGAGGAGAAACGCCCTGAAATGTCTAAATAAACCCTGAGAAGCAGCTTTATCTTGTTTTTATCCTTTTTGTTCGTTTGTTTGATATTCTTTGGGATTCAGGAGTTTTTTCTTTAAAGTCCTGTTTGGCTGACAATGATACAATGATAGACTCGGAGGCGCTGATTGTCAACAGTCAAGGCAGGCAACTGCTTGGGGCCCCATGCCAGTAGGAGGTCCCCAAGGGTCGATCAACTTCAAACCACAGCAGTGGCTCAAAATGTGCATTTGCATTGACTGTAGGAAACCTCCCTATGGGGCCCCATCTTACAGTACTCACTCATATAATAGTAAATCACTGATTGACGCTTATAGCCCTAAATATGGACTAGAGACACTTTAATGCATAACTTCCGCTAAAAAAATGTGTTGGTGTCAGATTATTTATAACATAATGGGGATGAACGCAGCTTCCCTGTGAATCATTTTGCCTTGGGCCCCTAAAGACACTAAAATCGCCACTGGATAGACTCTTTATTGTCATTGTATAAAAGAACACAACAAAACTTTGTTGGCAGCAATCCTGACTGGAACATGGATCTGTCCATGCACCACCAGCATCAAGACAGATTATTCATATTTTCTAATTTAATGATGAAACTGATGTCATACATGTACAGGACAAGATCAGCAAAGTGATAAGAGTTATTGCTTTTTCCACAGAGGATGCCCTGATCAACACAAACAAAAAGTACCTTGCAGATGCTTTAAAAGTACCATTTCCTTGGGAAATTAGCCTCCAATGATGGAGGGGGGGGGGGTTATATGGATGAAACACAGATCCTCAGTGTACCCTTTAAAGCCGAACGCTTATGAGTCACAACCTCCTCGTGATTTCATTTGATCCATGTCACCCTCAATGACTAGTCCTCTCCAAACAGCCCTTAATGTCATCAGAATGTGCTCACTCAAACATGTGTTTTGCTCGTTTAACTTTAATAATAAATGGCAGTTCCCAGAAGGACAGTTATCCTCCATCATATTCAGAGAAATGCCATAATCCATGCTGAATCTCATTTTCTCCAATATTCCCTTATCTTTAATGGCACGTGGTCTGTGCAAAGAAAATTGGAGTGGTAGACTAATGCTGTTAGCGAACTGTTCGCTGTTTTGAATTCTTATTATAACCTAATTAATAATGAGAATTCATCATGAGAGCTCACTGAAGAGATTACAGGACTTTTAGTTTATGCTGATGCATCCTAACAGTACAGTAAATCTGAGCCCTTAAAACGTTCTGATTCCAGTTATTTTACTTTCTGACTTCTCATACCTTCATGTGCTTACCTTGTATTCCAAAGATTCCAGTTTGATTTTAAAAAATACACATATTCAACATCTGAATGCCTTCATTTCTAATTCTTTACAGCAACAGCACTATCCCTTGAAACTGAAGCCATACTGTACACATTACTGCATTACTTTTGGTATTTTCCAATGTAAAATATTCCTGACATTTTGCTTACCTTACCTACAGATAACTGATCCCAAAAGTAAAGCAGTATCAGCGGGAATTCAATACTCATTTCAATATGATAAACTGTAATGACCCATACAAACACTGAGGCAACAGGAGACACATTCTTACCTGAGAGTGAAGTTAATGAGCTGAGCAGAGCTGGCCATGAGGATGTAGAAGGTAGCGATGTCAGTCTTCTTCAGCGGTTTTGAGGACGTCCTTATGACGATGGCATTGCCGAGCTTGAGTCTAGAAAGTGTTGCCATCCCTTTAGGCACCTGCAGAAGTCTTACGCTGCCAATCCTCTGCATAGGCGTGACAGGAACATACTCTGCCTGCTGCTGTGAGCCGCCCCAGCGACTCCCATCGGCAGAATTACACTTCCCGTTTACCTTGGGCTGTGCCTGGTAGTAAAGCTCCACAGGGTTCCCTGCAGACGGGTCCTGTCTCTCCCTGCTGGTGCCCTCTGACCCCGAAGCAAACCAGCCAGGCGGGGGAGCAAGCTCAGCCATGCAGGTTCCCCTTTCGCCTCCGATGGCACAGGAACCCCTGACCTCCTGAGTCTGCCAGAATGCATACACTGTCACACACGGTAGCTCATCCACATCTCCTTTCCCACGGCCCCAGTCCCTCCCAGCCACATAGAAGAGCACCCGCACTTTGGGCTTGGAGGAGAAAACACGGGGTGTCAGCACGAAGGCCTGGATCTTCCAGTTGAAGGTAAAGACCTCGGGAGCATTGTAGAGCCGCACGGACTGGACCAGGTCTAGAGGCACAAGCTGCTCGGTGGACATGGAGCCATAGCTGGCGTTGACAGCTGGCTGGCGGCTGGCTCTGAGGATAACAAAGGGCTGCGTGTGAGTCTGCATGCTAGAGTTCCTCATGAAGTCCTGCCCAGCCTCCTTAAGGAAGAGATAATCCGTATCTCGCACCTCATAGCTGACTGGAAGGAAGGCAGGGAAAGGCACTGGGCTCCTTGTGTCTGTCAGCTCTTTACTGCTCAAATCTGTGAAGTAAAAAGAGAAAAGTTAGGATTAAAACCGTGGGGTTGTTTTGTGGAGACACACTTCCAAGTAAATCTATTACATTAGATTAATTAAACTTCATATGTTATTACATGGGAGGAAAACAACTTCATCAATTGTTTCTACATGAAACAAAAACAGTCCAAAAGACTTCAAGTCACCTTGACACGTGATAATAAAATACCATTAAAAATACCAGGTGCGTGCCAGGATCTAACACTGGAGCAAAAAAGTAAGCCAAGGCCAACTTATCAACTGAGTGGGGCATCAAGGTATTACACTAAAAGGCCCCTGAGCTTAACCTTTAAATATCTGAATCAGAGCACGTAAGTGAAATGAAGTAAATTTGAACAAGAGAAGCTTTGGCGTGTTTTGGTTCCTGAGGCAGTAGCAACTTCGAGGATGGAGAAGCAGTGGAACTCTGTGGTTTTTCTAAGGGACCGTCAACAAATGACTATTGTAGTGAGTGGGGTGGGGTTATTAATCTCTTGACACTGAATTAATTCAAAACACCCATCTGAAAATTCCAGTGTTAAAATTAACAAATGTGTTTAATCATGCACCCAAATCTTTTAAACTTCATACTTTGTATCTCCATATCTTCATGTTATTTCACTGTGCGCATTAAACGTACACATCGACAAATCCCTAATGAAGAGACAAAACTGTTGCTGTACAGTCATTTTGATGGGTTTTATACCTGACAGTGATACAAGGATTAAAACATTAAAACTGAAGGATATTTAAACTAATTTCCCTGCTCTTCTACAAGGTTGGACAAGTCTACACTCAGCCAAAAGACAAGTAAAAAAACATTTGTTTAACCACTCAAGATCTTGTTATACAGTCCCTTAACAAATTCAGATAACTAATCATTTCACAGACAGGTAATAAACTACAAGTTAAAACTTCAGAAATGTTGTGGCACCAGAATTACTTATTGGTTGAACAAATTATTCATATGTGTATTAACTCAGGCCGTGCTGTGTGTAAATTGTAACGCAGCCAATGTAGAGCAAATGGCAAGGGATTGAATTTGTTTCACAGAATATAGCCAGCCATGCAATATTTTTGGACTTCCATATATCCCTGCCTCTGCCCCACTTTCACCTCGTTCACGGATGATCTGCTTTCACTTTATGGAGAGGAAAGGTGGGATCTCGTACATCTGGCACAAGATTGAAATCAGCCATCAAAAAGTGGGATTAAAATGGCTTTGCAGATTGTCATCAGGCTGTGACTATCCAGATCCTCCATTGAAAAAAAGCGAGAAATGCTGCTCAATACGAATGTGAGATGAATTTTAATGAAAATATTGAGCAAACAAAGACAGAAAAAGATCTCATATACTGTATTTAATTCAGTATGATGTGTATTCATGCATCAGCTGCTTTGTTTGTTTACAGTATTAATCTACAATGACTACAAGGATAACGGGCTACATTTTAAACACTGAAATCAAGTGCATAGACTGAGCTTCTTTTTTTTTTTTTTTTTTTTTTTTTAAGTTAGTTTAAACCAACATCAAGCAAAAACAGCCTCTGATTGGGTTTAAAAGCTTAATGGGGACGGTTTGCCTCGCCGGAGAAGTGAGCAGAGCAGAGGTCACCGGGCCATCGAGTGTCCTCATTAAACGTCCATTTTTGATAGAATTATGAAGATTATAGCAGCTGACCTGAGCGTGCACTGTTGATCTGGTTGCTAATTGCCCTACTTGCTGAATTAAGGCTGAAAAACACTGATGTTTACTCTACAGATTATGACAAAATGGATGAGGCTGCATTAGCATAGTGAAAAACAACTTCTAAGACTTAAACAAAACATCATCCCTCTAGAGCACCCAAATAAAAAAAAAGAAGATATTTGAATTGCAGTACTAGTCTAAGACGAATGTGTGAAACAAAGGATGACAGATACACCGCAGTCTGTCACTGCATTATTAATTGTTATCTAGCTATTGTGGAAGGCGTGTTGCTTTTCTATGTTAATAACAGTGGTCATGTCCCTTATGGTTGCTGCCATCTGACAGCTCCGTCTATCATTTTCTCTTCTGTTTTCTGTCTTTGAACGCCCGTCATGATGTGTGACAGTTACCAAAGCAATAACTATACTGTATGTGTCACAATCATGTCAACCTGGCCGCCCTCGGAGGAAGACAACAGCGTCTTTTTTTTCTCTGAAGAGTGTCAGTCATGTTCTGCGAGTGGGCGAAACAGTGCCGGAGAGACTGTGTGCTGGGTGTAGGGACGGGGGCTGTCCTGGCTTAGCCTTCCAGTGGCCGCAGTGACAGATGTGCTGTTTAATACCAGTGCTGGCAGCGGCTCCGGCTGGAGTGAATATAAACTGGCTCAGTGTCTCCAGGAGGGAGAAAGCACCGCCAATGTAGCAAAAAATTCACATGCAAGCTCGTCCCTTTACTATTGGGTGTGATGGGTCAGCTGTGCTCTTGTTGTTTGACACGCTTTTCCTTTCGTGAAACCCGAAGGGGAGCGTTTAAATGAGGCATAGAAAGCACGCAATCCATTTGTGAACATGATAGCAGACTTTGCAGGCGCACTTTGTTTGTTTATGGTTCATGGCAGGCCAGGAGGTACACATTTCTCCTTTGCCAATAGATGCTCAGATGACACGAAGAGAACGCAAGCAAAACTCTTCTTCTATGGTGCTCTCATCATGATGAGAGTCCTGCCCTCGACTGATAAACATGAGAGCAAATCCGTTGCACCAGCTGTGCCAGCCTTTAAAATCACTCATTTTGAAGACTGAGCTTCTCTTCCTCCTTGGCTGAGTCAGAAAGCATCAGTGTTGCCATGCAGATGATTTTAAAAGCCACCTCTTCATGGCTGCTCTCATGCAGCCTGAACATGTACAATGCATTGCAGTGTTGCTTTATTTTATTTTTCAACTGTATGTAGGTTAAGTGCTCCATCTGAGTGGAGTGAGTTTCCCTTTATGTCTGTGTTTTAATCATAAGTTGTTAATCACGTCTAAATGAAAATGCTCCCTGGATGAAAGTTTGATTCAAAAGTTGCTTTTTTGCTCATAATTTGAAACTAACACTATTGTATCTGTGAATGATTGGAGAAAATTAGTTTTAGGTTGGACTTTTCATCCAAAAATGAAAAAGTGACTCTTCAAAATAGAGCTTTTCATGTGCATAATATCCCTTAGTTTGGCTATGTTTTCTTTTTTGCTGTTTGGCTCCTTTTGCAAAAGAAAGTCAGTGAGTGGTTTATTTTCTTGCATTAAAATAAAAATGGCCAGAGGCCTAATCTTACTTAACTTTCAAAACTAAAGCGCACACACTGATATTTGTTCTGTGGTGTATATAAGTAGCTGCAAAGTTTACTTAAGGATTAAGACCCACAGATTCATTTCAAAATAACGTTCCCCATCACCAGTTTTAATAACAACACTGCTGTTTTTAATGAGTTACATTTTGCCCTGCAGTTTGTCTTCAGGTTCTAAATTAAAATCCCTTCATAGGTCAACTAACTTCCTTTCAGCGTTCTTGTCTTCGAGCATTGTTTCTCCAATTGTAATCAATCTTGGTATTATTGTATTAAATTGCACATGGCCTGAGCAGCCACTTTGAATTCTAATGTGCAGTAATGACTTTTACCATATGTGCAAAACAGCTTGCAGAAGTGAGGCGGACTCCCAATGGCACCACAGAAGACAACAGTGAAAGTCTGCATTTTAATCAGTAATTGAGGGATTAAATTTGCTGCTGTGGTCTCAAAGTTTTACTTTCAGGTTGTTTCTTTTTTCAATTTGTTAACATTTTTATGGAAACTCTCAGGGTCACAAATAGCAAAAGACTCTAAACATTTTAATAACACAACGTGTGACATTGAGTCAGATGACATTAACACTAATTAAGCACCCATAGAAGACAGAACTCTCTGTCCTTAAACTATAATGTTAACAATGTGTGTGATTTTCATCATTTGACTGGCTGACCTTTCCAGTATCTTTAATGAAGCACCTTAAGTTTCATTAGGATTTGACAGCGTCCTGTTAATTAGATGCTTGAACAACTCCTTTGTGAGACATTTATGCATTTTGCAGTTATACGTGTATGTTAAGAGAAGCTTACGTGAGAGGAAAGACAAGCTCTAAGTACTCCTGGGAAGTTGCAAAAAGTTGGAGCACGTTTCAGCACTGTGGTTAATTATCAAAGGTCATAAAGTTTGTTAAAGGGCTTGAAGATGTATTTTATCACTAGCAGTGCTATGATACAGTGTCTTATACAGACGCCTAATTGGAGTGTGTGGTCCTAATTACAAGGAAAGTCACAAAGACTTTGACTACATTGAAACCTATTCTGAACTTTCCCTTTCCAAATTTAGGGTTGTCAGAATGTGCAGAACATATTTCATGTTAGCGAAAAAGTGTTCGAAACAGTTCAGTGGTGATGCTTCAAGATATTTGGTCGAGGCTCGCTTGCTTATTTGTTGTAATGCCATTATGTCATCACAGTGAATAATACACAGACAAACCGCCTGATCAAATGCATTTTAAGGATAAAATGAGACTACAACACTTCTAATCACTAAATCGTACAGTCTACTCTAAGCTGACTTGAAAGAATTACAATTGTATCAAACACATGCTTTAGAAAGTCCTTTAAACAAACATACAAATATGATGTGCTTATCATATAGCCTGTAATGCTCTGGATAGTGAGAGGATGGAGGCGATAAGGGGAGAGAGAGAGAAGGGGGGGGGGGGGGGCAAAGCTTGTGCAGTGATTGGTCTGGATTGCTATGTCCAATGAGACTCTTAAAGCTGCTTTAAAAAATCTCAATTTCTCCATCTTCGTTATCATTTTATCCACATAAATCAGTCAGCCTGCCCTCCCAGGAAACAGTCATATATGAAGCAGTGATAGGCTTTACAGTAAATGCCTTTGTGATGTGCTTTTTCTTTTCTTTTTTTCATTATCAAAGTTGGGATTTTACATTGCCTACCTCTTGTTTTGCCTCTGTGTGTGGGAAGATTGGGTCTGCCGGTTTTCTAGTGGACACTCATGAGGGAATATGATAGCCTACTTTGTACAGAGAGGCATTAAGACATGGCTCGAGTTGTAATATAAAGTATGTTACCCCGGACAAATTTCATCCTGAATGTTTTATACCCCACCCACAAGACTGACACCGCTTTGCCTCAAGTAAGACACATATGCTAATGTTGGACTCACTGAAACGATGAATCACAGCGGAGTGAGATGAAAGCTGTTGGCACAAATGAGGACATTTATATATTATTTAGAACTCTAGAGAAGGCTGTTTTAATGCTGGCATGGCACTACGGAGAGAGGGCCCAGGTCTCATCAGTAGGGTGCACAATATAAACAGTGCTGTTATCTGCTGTTATAATAAAAATAAATTGTAGACATAGTATTGAGGCATAAACAGTCACAGTGGACTTCAATTCACTGCACTTTGGAATCAAGACTTTTAACTTTTTCTGAATGGCAGCTTTGATTTGTACACAACGCAATCAACAAGCAATTCATTCCAGGTCACTAACCTTGTGCAAGAACTGCTGTAATTGTTGCAAAGATTATGTGTAAGATCCTCCAGCTCTGGTAGTAAAGGCTCATTTTGGCACCCGGCGCGGCTCTCTCCTCCAGGAAACTTCCCGGTGTCCGTAGCTTAGTGTTGTTTCAGCAGAGCATGGAGCGGAACACTTCATCCATTTCTGCTGTTCGCACACTTAAAATAATCAAGCCTGTGGGAGTAAGATTGTAGTTTAGTCCGTGTTGCAGTTAAAATCGACAGCGCATCGATTCAGCGGAAGGTTTGTGCGTAAAAGTTGTGCGCAACGATCCTGGAGGTGTATCCTTTGGAGACTTTAGTGTCCGGTCAGAAAGAGTGGGGGTCCTCAGCTGAAACAATGCGAAGGAAAATATTCCGTTTCGATAAATATTTCCCTTGTAAGCGTAATTACAAAAACAAGTCCCCCGGAATGACTCGGTCTCCCGGTCTGCCGGCGCGGCTGGGACTCTGCAGTGTTAAACGGCAGATCACTGACTGTCTTGTGCGCGATCCTCAGGGCACTAAACTCATCATCTGTCACAGTTCATCTGCTCAGGAAGCCACGTCCATGAACGCAGCTGGTAGGATTAACCCTGCGTTGGTTTGAATGTCAAGTCAGAAGACATGATCAGACGTGACGGGGGCTAATGTCTGCTGATTTTTGATCGCTGAATCTGTTAGAGTGAGCCCCCGAGTGAACTTACAGTGAGCCGGACAGTCTGTGGCCATTATGGGGGATATATGTTAAGATTATTATTTAAAAAAAAATTGATGCATGGCTGCAATGGAAGTTACTTTACTAAACTCGCAAAAGTATTTTTTTTTTAAATATGGATTACGAGAAAAGTGTTTTAGAGGAGAAATATTCTTTAAGTATTGTTTTTTTCCCTGTTAGTTCTGACTATTTAGACCAGGGTCTGGTGTCAACAACGAGTTCTGGTTGCAGATTGTCAACTTTGGCGTCTTACAGAAGCCCATCTATACGCACAGTGTTTCCCTCTTTGACAAACTGCTTCACTGAACCATTCGGAAAACTTCTGCATCACAGCGGTGTTCAGTGCTGGAGTGGACAAATCTTCACCTTAAATCACGTATTAGCTCTACAGAGAAACATCGACTTGCAACCTTGTCATATCTTAACTGCTAAAGGGCACATTATTGTTATTATACATTTATATTCAACCAGGGCAACTGAAGACTAATTAGAGGATGTGTTTGCATCACACTCCCCTCATTATCACTGTTCACTCATTATAATTATAACCCCTCGTCAACGCTGTTACATCTTTTTTTTTTTTTTACATGTTGCACTTTAAAAATAGATCAGCTTTAATTGCAGTGATACACTCTAATGCCCCCTGAATGGTTGACTGCATCAGGTGGGTTTTTAGTGCCCTCTGATGGTTAAGAGGAGTTTCCATGTCAAGAAAACCAAAGGTGAATAACTGAAATTTGCTTGCAGCCCAGTTGCGTCAGAAATTACATTGCTTCCAACTCCTTTTAGCTCATTTTGTCAACAGAGAACCTGATGAGGGAATTTATATTCATGAATGTACCCGCATGATATATTTTTTTGATGTGGAGGGCAAGCTGTGGGAACACTTGTGCAACACTTTGTGTGTGTGTTTTAGGAGCAGGGATCAGATTTCATTTGGATGAAATGCAATTATTATTCTTTTTTTAAGGATACAGAAAACAGCAATTACTATTTACATCTTGGTGCTCAAACTGACTTCTGTCATCGCTACAACTCTTACTTGTCTGCAGACTTGTAGTAGTAAACGTAATGGGTCTTTATTGACTAATAAAGAGTATTAAGCAACCTATCGATACATAGTTTGTGAGTAGAACTCAGACTATATGGAGACAGAAGGAAGTTGCCACAAGCGTCTGCTGTGAGCTTATACGAGTCCTCCTGAGCACTGCAGCACTGTGATAAGCAGCAATAGCAGCATCTGTGTGTTGGGGTTGCTCCAGCATGCTATAATGTGCTGCTGTAGGATCATTTATATCCCTCTATACACATATACAGCCAGACAGCAACTACACCATGCAGCAGGAAAAGCTGAGGAGATATAATCCCCACAAAAGTTGTTTTAGCACTTCCCATACAGCTTCTTGCACATCTGTACATATCAATAAATATATAGGGGCTGTTTGAAGAGGACATGAATGCTTGTCATACATGCTTTCAAATACAAATGTTACATAACGTCCAGTAGACCTTAATAGATGCAATAAAGCAGAACATTCCTGTTTCTCTGCTACATAAATTAAACAGTGTTTACGTGAGGAACTAGAAGCTAAATGGTTGAGTTATCTCCCGTCCGGATCCTAAAATAGCAGACGCACGCTCTCGCATGAGAACTGCATTTTTTCACGGAGGGAGAATCACTTGTCAGAAGCATCAGTCCTCTAAAATGCCATTAAGCTGTGCAAAAAAAAAAAAAAAAAGAATTGAATTTTGTGACCTTCCTCCAGCAACTCCCCATTTAAAAAAATGGATAGCTCAGAGTTGTGGAGAAAACATATGGTGGAGCCTGTCAAGAATTTGTTATGAACACTTAAAGGACAGAGAAACAACACAGCCTCTGGATATGCAAGTCAGGATGCTGACATAGATGGATGTCACAGCAGAGATGTGCCTGAGTGCGGGAGAGTGGCCATAAACAGGTGATAGATGTGAGCGCCACGAGGAAGGGAATATGTTTTCAATGTACATCATCCTTCTGTGTGACAGAAAGAGGTGGCTTCAGCTGAGGTGCATTCAGACACACACTAGGCTCTAATGTCCCCATTCTCATTTTCATACAAACTCAGGAAGCGAGTGCACTAAAATTTACATACGTTGACAATATTGTCGTAACTACCCATTGAAGGTTGAACGTGTGGAGTCACAGGTAGAGTGTTTACTTGTTTGTATGTGTTAAGATTGATCTGCATAGTCCTGTCTGTCACCATGTGTGGCTGCTGGTCCGCTAGGAATTTTTGTTCTTATTTTACTTTGAGCTCTACCAAACTTACATTTTTTTGGAGAAATTATATTCCCTGTTTAGTTCTACTTGTCTTAAATACTGGCAGTCCTTAATAAAGACTCATGAGTTTCTCACTTTCTAATAATCTGTCAAGTCTGCTGATGCATGATGAAGTTACATTTTGGTTACTTTACTCCTTGTTAAATATAAAGTGTAAAACTGTATTAAAAAAGGTATTGTAAAATGCTGAGGGGGTGGTATACATGTTAATCAGTCATTAGCTGTTAGTTGCAGCTTCCTGGAGTCTCTGCTGATGCTGGTTCTCCTGGTTTTATTTGAACGTTTTGAAAAGACTCAGCCTCAACATTCACTGTTTTCTATCTTGATGCTATGCGTAAACTAAATAAACCAGACTCTAGCAGTGGCTTCAGGTTCCACTACAGACTTGAGAGTGACTTCTAGCAGCAACCATGCTTATTTCAGCAGGGCTTGATATTATAACTGGCCCAGATGCACGATTGACAGACTCCCCCAAAAAAAGGTGCCTAAAAAATGAAAATAAAAACAATAACGAATGATAATTTCACATTGTTTACCTGTGATGCTGCTTGTTAATTACTGCTACAGCATCAACGGGAGATTGAAATGGTGCTTTTCTAGTCTTCTGACTACTCAAAGCACTTTCACACTGCATGTCACACCTACACATTCACACCCTGATGGAAGAGGTTTCCATGTAAAGTGACCATCAGAAGTAACTAATCCAATTCAGACACATGCATATGCCGCAGACGAATTCAGGGTTAAGTGTTAAGTGTCTTGCCAGAGGACACATCTGACATGTTGCTTCAGGAGCTGGGGATTGAACCCCCGATTGTCTGGTTGAGAGACTACTGACTCTACCAAGTGAGCCACAGCTGCCCCAGAAAGAGAGAAGTTTTTCTTATTTCTTCAATTTCTTCATTTTGAGAGTAATTCCTTGATGATTATTTTCCATTTCAAAGGAATGTTCTTGGGCCAGTGGTTACAATGGTGGGGCAAGTGATCATGAAAAGCCACTTGCCCCCTTGACTAGGGTCAAATTTAACTCTGTCAACCCGCCTTTGATAGAACAGATGGTGAATGAGGTGAGAGAGAGTTGGGGATGACATGGACCAAACACTTGAAGCAGCATTTTAAGACACTTTCTCATGTGTCTATCAAAAGAAATGTATCCACGCAAGACTAACTTTTAATTAATGAAAAATGAATTATGAACTTGTGTCATAACTGGCCCGATAATTCTGTTCAGAGCAGGTTTCACAGTTTTGGTAAGTTTTAATGATTTTTAATTCAAGTAACCAAATGTTTCAGTTTCTCAATGAATAAATCAACATCTCTGTAGACAATGCTAAAGGTTTCAGAATGTTAATTAACTCATTTGAAGCCTGATCTTATGTTGATTTGTAAATCTCAATATTTCTCTGAATGCAGGACAGAGGTCTTGTGCTACCCTGCGTGAAAAGTATCCAGAGTAAAACTGACTTTTGCTGAGTTTGTAACACTAAAACTTGGCAAATAGTTTTATGGTCTGTGTAAAGTGTCCTTAGAAAAAAAGAAAACACTTGTACTTTGCTTGAGCGTCTTGTGCATTTTGCATGAAGTAAAAAAAAAAAAAAGGAACAAACTGTATTGCAAAACAAAAAATAATAAGAATACAATCATAATTCCTTTCAATACCCACTTCACATCAAACAAACTCTTCATAAAAGCTTGTCAGTCACCTCTTGTAATTACAGTGAGGGATGCTCCCACCTGCAGTAGGGTCTATGTATACTTTCCCATCCAATACATCTTCAAAGAGATGACGTTTTTCAAACTACAATGAAGTACAAGCCCTCTACTCATCCAGCTATAGCACACTTTTACATTATATTCTTCAGTGGGTAAAACAGAAGTAGACAAATCTTTGATATGTTGAATGTTCCTTCCTATTAAACAACAGAGAAAATGGCTTTTGTGTCCTTAATAGGAGGAGAGGCGACTGCATTCTTTTCATATTACATGTCTGAGCGGCCTCCTCTGCACTCCCACTCAAGCTGCTCTCCAAACATTAATAACAAGTCTGTAAAACTTGAAAGGTACAAAGCAGAAACCTGAGGCTCACAGGCCTCTGATACACAGAATCGCGGTCTCTCTTTGTTGCCCCGGGGTCATAGAGATGTTGAGGACTGTACCACTGGATTTACGTAGAACAAACATTCATTAAGATTAGCCATACAGGAGATCCTGATTTCATTATTGTTTGTTATGATATTTAACAGTCTTTAGAAGTACAGACTGTGAATCAGCATTTCTTTCCGTGATAGCTACACAAACAAAGATGAAAGTCCTTCCAACGTCGTGAGTTGACATATTGATGCCTATAACAGAAAACATACTTATTATTAGCTCAGTCCTTTATTTAAATAGCATACAAATAGTTGTTTTCTCCAAACTCTTGAGCTGAGAAATGCTGTCTGCTGCCTCCTAATCCAGTTCAAACTGGGCCAT